AAGCTTGGTGGAAGGTGTCCACCTCCGTTCAGAAAGACAGGCCAGTGACCTTGCTGCCCACGCTGCTGGCTGCCAATGCAGGCTGGCTGCCATGCCAACCACGCAGACATTTGGACCAGTTTCAGGGGCTCTTCAGCAGCTTCTTTCCCTCTTTCCTGCTTTCCAAACCACTGGCAACTTAGAAGAATGAAGAAATGGGGCTCAGAGTACAGCCGTCTGGCACCCTGTCTGGCCGTCAGCAGGAGAACGGGACCCAGTTTGGTGTGCAAAGAGAAGCTGGGAAAGAACATTTGAGCAAGAAAACGAGCCAGATCCACTGGGACTGGGCAGAAAATCCCCCAGTGCATCCTTGGGCTGGCCCAAAGCCCCCTGGCCGGCTTTCATCCCTCACCGCCTCCTGCTTTCTAGCCGGGGGCCTTCATTGCTAGGCCAGACTGGCTCTCGCATCCCTGTGGGAGGGGCCGCCCTGTTCACAGCCAAACTCCCTCAAGCAGCATCTTCTTTTCTTTTTGTAGACTGGGGATGGAGGAATTGTTCTTAATTTGTGGAAGCTCAGCGGGGAGGATATTCAACCATTGGCCAGCTTGGAAGCAGCACAGTTGGCATTCTGGGCAAGCTCTGGACGTGCAAAAAATAGGCAGGCCCTGTAAATATTGGCATTAGTCTATAACGGTGAAAATGTCTTGGAAGCAGGCCTGGCGAAGCTTTGGAAAATAGGGAGGTGTGTTAGGAAATCCTATCCTGTGCTCTGGAAGACAATCCGAAATGGAAATCCATAATAAAGTTCTGCCACATCAGGAAAAGATGACGTGTCATCAGACCAAGTTTCAGGGAGAAGCAGCTTCGCTGTAAAAGCAGCAAACGGCATAAAATAAAGACTTCAATAAAGGAGCATAAAACAAACATCTCAGAGCATCTCTTTTGCCATTCCTACGGTCAATTAGCATCTGAGTTCCACCCAGCTGTGTCTACTTTTTTGGGTGCTCTTGGACAGAAAAAAGGGGAAATGTTTTTTCAAGGTAGGCAGTCCCCATTCCAAAAATATGTGGCAAAATACATGATGAAGGCAAAAAGTCAGATGCCTTTCTGCCTTATGCCAGAAAGTTGCAACCCAAGGAATCGTCTGTCTCTGCTTGCTGATTTTGCTGGAGCAGACCTCGGCCTCTCTCTTTGCCCAAAGCACGGAGCTCCAGCATCTCAGCAGCTGGAGACTTTTTTCAGAAAGCGCATCCCGTGCACCTCAAAGGCCCTGAGCCCTTACTCTCCCTACAGTGCGAGCAAACGCCACAGCTGTACCGGCACCCCAAAGGCAGAATGGGCTGCTCCAGAAAGAGCGCTTGTGCGCACGGCCTGGGCTCCCACCTCTTTCTGCGCAGTCTCTGCCGGGGAAAGCGAACCTGCGGGGAGTTCAAATCGGAAACTCTCAGCCCCAGATCTGCCATTTCCAGAGGCTCCACAGGACTCTTCCAGGAAGCTGCTGGGGTGCTCCCAGCCCAGGTCTTCCGTGGTGGGCAGCGGAATGGCTCAATGTCTCAGGGTCCCTGGCTGGGAAAGCCAGCAGACTGAATCAGCAAGAATCAGAGCAACGCTCCTTGTTGGAGAGAAGTGGGGCTGAAAGTGGCAGCCCTCACAGGAGGGAATGTGTGGAAAGCACTGAGAACAGAACTGTTCGGAACAGCCTCTCCATGGCTCCCTTCCCTTCCCTTATGGTGTGTGTTTGTGTGTGTGTGTGTGTGTGTGTGTGTAGAGACCCACAAGGTTCTCTGAATGACAGCACAGGTATACGTTGAAATGCAAATCTTGCAGGGGCGTGGGGGAAATGTTGCTACAGATTTCAGACAGAAAAATGGTGTCTTTGGTACAGGAGTTAGGAAAATAATTTTTGAGAGCCCACCTCACACTGGCAGATGCAAGGGTGGAATTGCAACAGAGTCTTCTGGGGCCTCTTTTCCCCGCCACCAGGAGCTCCTGCCCAGGAGAGGGTGGAGTGGAGACCCCCCCGGGGAGGAGACCTGCTGCCCAGGCCCTCCTCGCTCTTATCTGCGGGGGGGGGGGGGCAGATGTTAAGGCCTCACCCAGGAGTTACTGGAAGCGTGGTGGAAACCAAAGAACATTTCAACCACTGGACTTTGGAGGGAAAAGTGTCACCTTCTTGGCTGTCGGCCGGGACAGAGTTGGCAAGAGCACATTTGAAGCGTCACCCACCCTGTCCTCACCAGATCCCGTTTTCTTGCATTTTCCACCCATTTACCCTGAAATGCACTAGCAAAGTTGCACTTGGGGAGCCGGAGGAGGAGAGGGGTGGAAGCAGTGAAATGGTCGGCCGGCTGGCCGGCCGGGCAACAGCCGTTGGAAGGTCCAGGGCGTGGAGCAGAAAGTGCTGCAGAGGGCAGGGGCTAAAGAGCTGGGGGAGACCCTTGCTTCTTCACCTGCCAGAGGCCTTACCAGACGGATGGCTTTGGCATCTGGAAAAGGGCGTGCCTTTGCACAAGCAGCAGTGACCCCGTGAGGCTAAAGTGTGCAAGACAGATACTGCAGCTCTGTAAATGGATGAGAGGAAGTCACCTGCTGATCGACTGACCAAGTGCAACAGCCGTTTGCAAAAAGCAGAGCTGAAAACGTGGAATGAAAACCAAGGTTGAACGCTGGATGTTCAATTCGGCAAAGGCTGTTCAGGAAGCACCGCAAAGCACCATCAGCCACAGAAGGGCTCCGGGCTGCACATCTGGCTCCATCCGGCCTTGGGAACGGACAGCCGGATTCCGTCTGTGGCAGAAGGGGGGGGCAGGATTCTTCAGAGGCATTCCAGGAGATGGGACAAGGAAGAGCCGTTGAAAGGACCAGAAATGAGCTTCCAGTGGGGCATCAGGAAGGGTTTCCCAAGGGCGAGAGCAGTTCACGAGGAGAGCAGGTGACTCAGGATGCAGAGACCTCCCCTCAGCTGGAGGCATTCGCAGGTGGAAAGGCACCAGTAGAGGGTATCAGTGGATTCCTGCACCAAATTCTATGATTCTGAGATCTTCATCCTGTAATATATAAGTAAATGTTATATCAAGAGCCAGTTTGATGGAGTGGTTGAGGCTAGAACCTGGGAGGCCCTGAGTTCTAGGCACAAAGCCGGCAGGGGGACCATCTACACATACATGTCGATCCCCGAAAGGAGGCCCAAGTTGGTTTTCCTGGACTAGAATAACAGGCCTCAGGAAGGGAGACGCGGTGGCCTTTGCACAAGGAACTTTGGAGAAGCTGAAGTCCCTGAGAAGAAGACTCGGGAAGCCGCTGGGAAAGGAGGACATGGCCAGATGAAGACAAGGGAGAAATGTTACCACTTTCCAAAAGCACTTTTTCAGGATACTTTATTTAGGCTTACAAAAATCAGTGAAAAAAGCCAACGGTATATTCCCCTGAGAAGCCATCTTGGAGGATGAAGGAAGAGGAAGAGGAAGAGGAGACCTGGCGGTCAACAGACATCAGGAGCAACCCCAGAGAGGCGTCCCGGCGCTTCCACGCTCTTCTTTGCGGCCTGCTCCAGAGGAGGAAGGTAGCCAGGACCATCCCCGGTATCAGGGAGCAGCGGACAGGGCAGGAAGAGCGAGGAGGGGACCCGTTGCAAAGGTCTCTGTGGCGGCAATGGATCCGGGTCCCTGGGAGCGCCTGCTGCTGGCAATGGCGGGAGGTGGCACATCCGCCGGTCAGAAGGATTCCCAGCACCGCTGCCAAGGACGGAGGAAAGAAAGGAGGAAACTAGGGATGGCAGCGAGTCAGAGTAAATGTGGGCAACGAGCTTGGTTCCTTGGTGGAAACTGCCCGGGTAGCCTTCTTAAAGATGGGCGGCTCTGCATGCATGTCTTTTATTTAATTACCAAATATTGGTCTGCGTTTTTCTGGCTTGAGAGCATCCAGCCTTGAGTAAGATTTAACCTTTTCTTCCTAAGCAGGAGAAAGAAGTGAGCCTCTCCTGGAATCTGGACTCCAATCGGACATCTGCAATGCAGAGGACTAACTGCTGCTGACGGCTTTGCTTCCAGAAGGCGCAGCGTTCTGTTTTGCCGTGGTGCGTCCCTCGCCGCAAACAGGCTAAGGATTGGGGGCCCCAAGCCGCTGTGCCCTTCCTGTGGCTGCAGAAGCAGAGGCGGCACCACTGTCCCACGTCCCAACCAGCTACCAGCTCAGGATTCCAAGGAAATGCGTCCAACCCTTTGGGCTGCACCACCGCAGCATCCACTGAATGTGGAAGGGACAGGATCTGACTTGAGCAGACAGCGTCAGAGATATGGAGCCCCTCCTCCCAGCTCCTCCCTGCTTTGAGCAGGACCCACCCTGCCGGCACAGCAGAGGCACCCAGTGGCTGACTGGGGGATTCAGGATTTCCCAGAACAATGTTGCCTTTTCCCGTCTTGAGAGGGTGGCAGGGAACGCTCTCCATCTCGAGAGTGACTTTGAACTGCAGGTCTCATCATGGCAAGACCTGGCCTGTGTTCCCATACCCTGCTTCTGCTAACCTAGCCTGACCAGTGCTTGGACTGGGGACCACCAGTGCGAGAGTGGAGCGAGTGAGAAACATCTCAGAAAGCGGCAGTGGCAAACCACTTTTGTATCGTTGCCAAGAAAGCCACGGTGGGGCTGTGTCTGCAAAATCACCTTGGAGGGACCTTTACTCCTACCCGACCAAGAGTCAGGGAAGACATGGAACTCTGGTCAGTTTTTTGTGGCATTTTAGTTTATGCCCATAAACAGACCCCTCCCCCTCAGCTAACCCTTCAGGTTCTCCTTCCCCATGGATCAACCCTCCCAGGGCTGCTCTTCTCTCCTGCCTGCCCCCCAGAGCCCTGAATAAGCAAAGAAGCCTTGCACTCACCACTTTCTATCTTGATGCAAAACCGGTGCTTGAACCCTTGGTGGGAACGGGGGCAGGTGATCACTTCTGGACTGGAGCAACCCGTGTTGACCGACCTGCTGCCCACCATCACATTGCAGCCGTAACACTGGAGGCCAGAGGCTGAAGCAGGGACAAAGCAGGGTGTGAGGGGCAGGAGCCCCTTCCTGAGCCAAGCCAGGGGGCCTTCACCGCTGCAGGGAGGGTCCTTCCTTCCAGGCTGGCTCAGTTGTTCTAGGACGGTTGCTTTTAAATGCCACACACACTGAAACCGGAAGGCTTCTCGGAATTCCTTGTTCTGCAAGTTCATTGTTCCCCCCCCCCCTTTCCCTGGCCTGTGCAATCCCAGAACCTATCCCAGAAACATGGGAAATACAGCTTTTAGTAGAACTATTCTTTTTTAAATTACTGTTTAAAAACATCACAATCAATATTTCCTTTTTAAAACTTGGGTATTAGTTTGCAATGCTGTAAATAAACAAAACAGCAGTATAACTATATAATGTTGTATAAAGAAGAAAGCTAACTATTATATATAATTATATAAGTTATACATTCTATTCATTA